AAACATTATTTGATTGATTATTGAAAAATGTGGATATATTTTAAATAAATAAATAATTTTTTTTAAAATTATTTTTAAAATAAAATGGAAAAAATTAAAATTATATTTGGATTAGTAAGGTTATTCAAGATTGATAATTTTAATCAGTTTTGGAAGGTCATAACAAAATTTTGGCTTTATTTCATTCTCCTAATTCTCCCAAGAACCAAGATGGGGGTAGGTACTGTTTCGTATATCCGAGGATTTTAGAAGATCCAAAAACACTAAATCTGATCGAAAGGCCGATCAGTCCTATGCGAATTGCCTGACATAGGGCTAATTGAATTGACTTGCCAACAACCAGTTGAGGTGCTCTAAATACCAGGCTATCTGGAGATACCTAATTCTGTGTTCTTTCTATAGGGTTTAATCCCCGCATAGACGATAAAAATGCTAAAATGGGATATTCACCTTACACCAGGGCTGAGCGTCATGGCGTTTGGTGTCAATTTTTGGCCGATTTTTGGTGTTTTGCGTTTGGCGTGTTTTCAAAATTTGAAAAATTGGCGTTTGCGTCTGGCGTTTCCTTGTGAAAATTTTGGCACAGCCCTACCTAGCAACAATAATCAAGCTCTAATAATAAATTTTGATAATAAAATTAATAAAAACAAAGGAATTAACTAAGAAAATGAACGTAAAAAATAAAATTAAACTTAATTTTAAAAATAATATTAAATTTACATATTTATTTCTATACACATTTATTTCGTAACAAAATAATTTGACATAAATTGGTATGAAAAACAAACGGCATGAAAAAAAAGTTTTTTTACTAAGAAAAATTAGAAAAAAATGACACATTTCCCTCAAAAATATATTGTCTATGTATAAATGAATATAATTGAATGAGTGAATATTGTGTTGGTTGAAGCGCAAAAAAGAAAAAATACATATTAGGTTTTTCCATGCTTTTATTAGCGAAAAAAGTAAAATTAGTAATTCTGTGCCAGTAAATAAATAAAAAAAAATATTTTTTTAGTTAAAAGTTTTGTGCTTATTTTAATAGATAGACACTACATATAAATATTATTTTAGTACATGCTTATTTATTGAATTGTTCCAAGTGTATTTTTTTATTGGAAATAAGTACTTGTATTTTTAATAAAAAATATTTTCGTGACTTCGATTTTAAAAATAATTAAAAATAAAAAATAAATAATTCAATTCTAGTTGATAATCTTTTTATAGCTGTTAACTATGACAGTCACGTCGAGAAAGAAGTCGGGATTCTCCGGGATCCCGACGGGATTCTCCGGGATCCCGATCCTCAAATCCCGGATTTTTTTTGATTTTCGGGATCAGCGGGATCGGGGATTTTTTTGGGATTTATCCCTCGGGATCCCGGAAGTGCGATTTTGCCGACCTCTAGTTTGGATATGGATCGGAGTATCGGAGATGGGTCTGAGTATTTTGGGACGTGTCGAATAATACACAATTTTATATACTTCATTTAAGTTGGCTTAGTTAAAGTTCCAGAAATTAGCAGAATTTGAATTGATAATAGAGAAGATGGTAGGGATGCTATGAAATAAAAAAATTGATGATAAGATTTATATGTATGTAGTCATTGTCCTCTGGTCAAGAAAATGAAAATTACTTGACAACAAAACAAAAAAATAATCCTTCTTGCTGTTTTTGCTCAAGAGTTACATATCCATCTATTTTTAGTATCACTAATTTAAAAACGAAGAAATTTGAACTCAATAAAATAAAAAAAACAAATTTATAATTTTTGTTAGATTACTAAAATTAGAATTATTTTACTACGTCATTTTTCACTTTATTTCCGCCTTACTCAACAATAAGTTGACAAAGTTGGAAGTGACGAACAAGGAAATGACGCATAATGAATATAATGTAGCTAGTCGATTCATCAGAAATTTGACACTTATTGTATACGGTCCAAATTTGTCGAAATATATTTTGTCAATAAGTATGTCGGATCCGAATGTCTGGATCCGAAAAAGGTCGGAAATCCGGAAATTTTCGGTTCTGATCTCGGAGTTCCAATATCAGAAAACTTATTATTGTATTTATTTTTTCAAATAGCACCAATTTTAATATGCACTTTATTTGGTGCGGGTAACTAAAATGAGCCTCATTTTGGAGTATGTACATAAGGATCAGTTTTAGAAAGTGTTGAGAAAAAGCTGAGACAGGGTTTTCAAAAATTTCTCGAGTCAAGTTTCAAGTTGAAAATAGTCTGTTTCGGATTTACGGTTTTGGATATACGTCTATCCCAGAACCCGTCCCATCCTTTCCTATCCCTGATTAAATGATTCGATTTTATACTAATTTAAAAAAATTAAAAATATTATTTTTAATATATTATGTATTGTTTTTCTGTCATGTGTTTATGATAGATTAAAGTAACATTCTAAATTTTATTATTAAAAAATATTTTTTATTAAAAATAAAATTAAAAAAAGGCAAAAAATTATTTTGGTTATTGTTGTTGTTTGTGTGAAAACAAAAATTCTAAAAAAAATATTTATAATTGCTTTTCTTAAAATTTAAAGAGGAAATAAATTTTTAATTTAAAAATAAATTGAATATAAATAAATTTTTTCAATATTTATTTTTTTTATAAAATGGGTACATTCATATATTTTAAAATTACTTTTATTTAATCTTAACTTTTGAGTACTCTGAATTTAAATATTTTTCTGATAAACGTATAAATTAAATAGAAAGTTGCTTTCAAATATAGGCTGCCATTCTATTTTAAGGGTGATTCATCTGGCAACATTTGAGGTTAAAATATTTAAAAGGAGAAAGGAAAACGAGGAGAATTTTGTTTTCTTGCTCATTTTAACTTCTCAAAATTTTCATCTGCTGTGTTGAAAAGGAACACTCGGAGTACATACTATCGGCCACATTGTTTTTACCCCTCCAAAAATTATTCTCGAGGTTCCCTCCTCAACGGACAATGTTTACTACTTCAATGGAAATTTAAGATACGTATCCGGACATCCACTGAATTACCCAGGGTCTGTCAAATCTAGAGATCAACCTGGCTCCCATATCTATTTTAAGGATTGTCCTTGCCGGTGTCAAAAGCAGGGGTGTCCGCAAATGAAAAAAATTTCCGCAGCAGCAATCTGCAATTGCGGACACCTCTTGTCCCGAGTGGTTTTACTAACTCTAATTCTAAATAAATTCCCCCTTTCAATATTTGCTTTAAAATTATTTAAAAATTCTTTTCTATTTTAAGAATTTATCAAAATATTTTCAAAATATTTTTTTATTTATTTTTATGTCAGGTGAAAAGTTCACATTCATTTAGCTCTAAATTGGCTAATTAAATTTAAAAATATTTGAAAGCTTCCTGTCAAAATAAAAAAAATTTTGTCTAAAAAAGGAATTTTGTTTACATTTTTTAATTTAATTTAAAAATGACCACACAATTTTATTTATTTTTTATACCTAAATATTTGCATATATCAGCTGGCAAAGTACTTTATTTTTACTTTAAAAGGATTTAAATTTTTATAAAATTTAATTCAAAATTTGAATAATAAAATTAAATTTTTTTAGATAATAAAATGAATAAAAAATTATTTTTGTTAATATTCACAATATTAATTATTTCAACAGGTAAATAATTTTATTGAAAATAATATTTTATTGAACGAATTAATTTATAGTTTAAAAAATCATTTAAATTAAAAAAGAACAAAAAATTTAAGAATAATTTGCGGTGTTAGATCCGAATATTCGGTTCCGAAATAGTCTGGTTATCGATGATTTCTTGTTTAGGATGTCAGATAAAAGAAGATTTCCCAGGCTCCGCGACCTTAGCTAAGTTTGAAGAAAATTCATAACGAATTTTTTTCAAACCTAGCTATTCTATCTTAAGGATGATTCAACTGGAAACCCTAACTGTTAAACCGAAATTTTTTGAGGCTATTGAAGAAGGAATATAACAAATTATAAAAATAGGAAAAGTTGATCGTAGGAAATCTTCTGATATACTCAGATTCGGATTCTAAATCTGAACAAAAATTTATGGACTTGATTTTCCCGGATCCAGACTAGAATGAATGGCTCTTCTGATATTAAATTTTCTCTAATGACCTCGCCATTAATTAATTTTATATTTGAATTTATTTCAACTACTAAACTTATACCGTTGCTCGGAATAAACTATAAATAAAAAATTTATTATTTCAGCAGTTAATGCTCTTTCAAAGCACGATCAGAAAGTAATTGTAGATTGTCATAACAATTATCGTTCTCAACTTGCTAATGGAAAAATACAAAATCACACAGGAAATATGCCCCAAGGGGCTAATATTAAACAATTGAGCTATAGCAAAGAAGTTGAAGCATCAGCCGCAAAATGGGCAGAAAAATGTACAATAAGCCATTCTCATGGAAATTATGGCGAAAATCTTTTTATGTCATCAAATCCCAAAACAAAAACTGGTAAAAAATAAATTTACTAGTGGAACACATTATAAGATTCACCTTTGGCGCTGTAATATTGTATTCTGTAATGAGGGATACCTTAAATAGAGGGTATCGTTTAGGCATCATCATATCTAGGACCTTATGTAAGATTCACATTTGGGGTTGAAAATTGTGCCTTATAATGAGAGGTGCCTTAGATTGAGAGTAGATCTTTTAAACATCTCTCCTTCCATGCAGAGACAGAAAGAATAATTAGTCGGGTTTCGGATCAAGGTTTCAAAATTTTCTTAGGATTGGGTTTCAGGTTCTGGGTCAAAAAAGTCTGGGTTTCGGGTCTCGGATTTGGGTTTGGGTTCATTGCTACCTAGTGGTCATCAAGATAAAAAATAGTATCATAAACTGAGGCTTATCGAGTATTAGGGTGTATTTTATAATGGGATCCGATCTAAAAGATTACTGAAAATAAATTTTTAGCCGATGCATTAACCTATGCCTGCAATGCCTGGTGGGCAGAAGTAAAAAATATAGGGATTCAAGGAAATTTAATTATGGACAGAAGCCTCCCAGGAAATGGACACGCAACTCAAATGGCGTGGGCTACAACCACACAAATTGGTTGCGCTCTGGCTAGATGCCCAAATTCAAAATGGAAAACTTATCTTGTTTGTCAATATAATCCCTAGTTAAATTTTTTAATTTAAAAATTATTTTTAAAAAATTTTTTAGCGGAAATGTTATTGGAAGGACAATTTATGAAAAAGGAAAACCATGCAGTGGTTGTGGTAATAATAAATGTAATTCCAATGGATTATGCAAATAAATGATTAAATACGGAAGGTGATTGTTGATGATTAAAAAAAAGGAAAAAGATAAAATTTTTATTTAATTAATGGAGTATAAATATACATATTTAAATCAGATACTCTGTTGTAAGCTGAAAATACAATAATAAATTTTTTAAATCCAGATATGAAATATTTTTTTATTGTATTTGGGTATTTAAATTCTTTTTGAATTCCCCATGAAGCCGAAAAATTGACTAATGTATGAATAAAAATTTTTATTTCTGGAAAAAAGCATTGTCTAGATATACCGTATTTTCTCGATTAATTCCCCTGGGGAATTATTTTTTCAACATTTCCTTGGCATAGGGAATTAATCGAGGGAGGGGAATTATTCGAGTTATGGCATTTGAACGTGCAGTAGGGTATTTGGTGTTGGGGAATTATTGTTTCAACCCAACTCTAGCATGGGGAATTATTCGAGAGAGGGGAATTAATCGAGAAAATACGGTATAAATATTTCCCAATCATGGATTTGGACCTTTTTCCCTTAATTTGTCTCTAAAACTTTTTTTCCTAATTTATTTTTATCTGGATATTATCCGTATCCATGTGTGTCTGTTTGAAACAATTAATATATGTACAGACTGATTTTGAAATTTATAATAAAGGGATTAAAAACGAATATTCGCCCGGAAAATATTTTATACAAAAGATTAAATAATTACAAATTTAACAAAAAAATTAAAGAATAAATTTTAAATTTTAAATAAATAGTTAAATTTTTTGTCTATCTTTTTTGTTGATTTTTTCTTTTTTTGATTTTTTTAAATTTATATGTAGCGACAAAAGTTCGCAAAATTTCTCACCAGTAAAGTCAATGGCTTTTTGTACAGATTAAAAAAATATTTTCCCTTCTTCTCTCCATCACATCGGCACTATCAGATAAATTTTAACTACTAAACTAGTTTATGAAGAGTTTCCAAATCAATCCCTCCAAATACACTCTTCTTTAATTCCTCATTAAACTCTTTAACTTCCTCAGGCATACTTATTTCCAATCTACCAGGACAACGGAACGGACATGATTTGTGGTTTGCTGATACGGATGATTTAAACCATTTAAATATACATTCCCAATGGAAGTAATGTTCACACTTAGTACGTGCAATATCGTCGTCTTTTTTAAAATTTTTGAGACAGATTGAACAATTTTTTTGATTGGTCTTTACTGCTGCTTTAAAGACGATCTCTTTCATTTTTTTCTTGAATAAAATTAAATTATTAAATAAAAATGTTTTGGAAAATTTTCGTCTTTAGTCCCGAAAACCGATTATAACAAATAATATGTTATTTGACACCAAAAATAGGTCCTGGTCTCACTCATGGACCGAGATATAGGGCTCGAAATGGTCAAAAATTGGTGTACGGAATTTTGGTCACCGGAATTTTGGTCACCAAGGATTTTCGGAACTTTGGTCACCAACTTTTTTGGAATTTTGGTCACCAGCGGAATTTTGGTCACCAAGTCAAAAAACGGAATATTGGACACTGGAATTTTAGGCGCGGGGAATTTGGGCGTCGGAGTGAATTTTTTGATTTATTCAAAAATAACACAAAATCAAACTACGTTACTATAGGTTACAAATAGATTTGGACAAAATATGTCATTCGAAACAGCTCGTCGAACTAGGTCAAACGACTCCAAAATCATCCCGATTCAATCATTCTCAACAAAATTATGATTAATTGAATCTCGCTTGAATAAATAATTTTGTGCTGATACATAGCGGGTAGGTCGGCATTTCAAAGCTGAAAATCAGTAAAAAAGGGATAGGTTTGTGTTACTGTTGTAGAACCCAGCGACCGTTGACTCCCGCAAGGCGCATGCCGCAAAATCCCGCGCGAAGCGCGGGATTTTGCACAAGCGCCTCGCCGACACCCATAGGTTTACGTTGTTAGATTTTGTGTCATTTTTCGGAAAAATTCAGTAATTCACTCCTACGCCCAAATTCCCCGCGCCTAAAATTCCAGTGTCCAATATTCCGTTTTTTGACTTGGTGACCAAAATTCCGCTGGTGACCAAAATTCCAAAAAAGTTGGTGACCAAAGTTCCGAAAATCCTTGGTGACCAAAATTCCGGTGACCAAAATTCCGGCACCCCAAAAATTATAGGGGGAGTAAGCTCAATTTAAGCGCAGGGCTCACCATTATAGATCTAAACCCCTGTACTAGATTTTCTCATCAAATTTGAATTTATATAGTAAAATGCACTCATAAAATTTCAATTTTCAGGACCACACTTTTCGGTTTTCAGTTTGAATTTTGACTCTTGTCCAGTTTATGCGTCCCATGAAAGTATATGCGTCCCATCAACAAAAAATTGGATTTTTCTTGGTGTTGCAAAGTAGGGGTATGGTTCCAAAGCATTTCTTCATGTTCGGGATCTACGTCCACTGGGTCTGGGACCATTCCTTACCCTATCCCTCGAAATTACTGAAAGTTATAGCCAATTTTTAAAAATTTCAGAAAAACGATTTTAACTTTTAGAAATTTCGAGGTATAGGGTAAGGAATGGTCCCAGACCCAGTGGACGTAGATCCCGAACATGAAGAAATGCTTTGGAACCATACCCCTACTTTGCAACACCAAGAAATATCCAATTTTTTGTTGATGGGACGCATATACTTTCATGGGACGCATAAACTGGACAAGAGCCTGAATTTTTTGCATAAAATAATTACTTATTACAGTCAAATTTCACTCTTACATAGTCTGAGAAAGTGTGAACTTTTATCTTATAGAGAGTCTTGGTATCCGTATCCGGATATTTATGGCGGATACAGGCGGATATCCGCAGGCATTTTGATATTATCATGAGCAGGTCTGGTTTTATCTATTTTTAGGTTTATGTAAAATTGAGACCAGACTGTAACAAGAAATTAATTTGAAGACTTTTTAATAAAAAATTTTTTAGTTGTAATTACTAAACTATTTTATGAAGCTTCTCCAAATCAAAACCGCCAATACCACTATTTTCTAATTTCTCGTTTAATTTTGTAACTTTTTCATGTATACTTATTTCCATTTGATGATGACTCGAAGGACATAAGCGACCTTCGTTTTGTGAAATTTGTTGTTCATTTTGTGACTTTGGTCGTGACTTTCGTTGAAACCGTTTCGATATATATCTCCAAAAGGGGAAATGTCCATATCCAGTTATCGAAGTTGACTCCGTTGATTCAGATGACTTTTGTTTCGGCCCTTTTAATAGGCATTCCCAATGGAAGTAATGCCCACATTTAGTAAGTTCAATATCGTCATCCTTTTTAAAATCTATATGACAGATTGCACATGCCTTCTGATTTTTCTTTACATCATTAAATACAATCTCTTTCATTTTGGTCTTAAATAAGAATTAAATTTAGATGGATAATTTAATAATTAGTATATATATTTAGCCATATTACAAGCTCAAAACCAAGAGGCTTGGATATCTTAGATTTGTACGCATATACATATATGTATATTTTTAAATACTAAATTTTTATAGGTAAATTAAAAATGTCTATAAAAAGATCAATCAATTTTCCGGAATATCTTGTAGAATTCTCAACAATTATTAGGTGCGGACATAATTAGTGGCCGTTTTTTTAGATTAAATTTTTAGGGGTGTTATTTTAAAAATATTCTTTTTATTTATTAATAAACATATAGATCTGAATCTACTCTTCATTTTAATACCAGGTATAGGCTATATATGGTTGATATTCTTAGAGTTATGATTAACTTACTAAACAATTATTCTTAATTTCATTTCTAACTTTGTCCATATAATTTTCACAATATTTTTTAATCTCATTAATCGCTGATCTGTCATTTATCATTTTATACTTTATCTCTTCTATCTGATTTTCAGCCACACCTTTATCTTCTAACGACTTATTTATAATCATATGACACTAAATTATATACAATTTAAATAAATCCATAATTTATTTACGATTTAAAATTAAAATTGAAATTAGTGTTTTTGAAAATAACTGGATTTCGGAATACGGGAAACAGGTCAACTGCCAAAATCGAAGCCTTCGATCAAATTATTTCAAGCTAAATTTGATCAAACCTTCGATTTTCTATATAAAAGTTAAATTATATTGTTATAAAATTTTGATAAATGAAAAATATTCTCATTGAAAAAATCCCTATTCTATTAAAAAGCATAGTAGCCCTTATGATAATTTCAAAACGAATATAGGTATGTTATAGAAATTTTGGATTAGTGTAGTCTGCCGGTGATAAAAGTTCGTTGCGTGACATATGTCATTCATTCGTCTCGACGAGCTGAATCGAACGGTAACACTCCCGAAAGATTGAAAAACCATGGGGGGAGTAATCTGATTTTTGGGGTGCATTGCACTACAGCCGAAATTTTAAAATATAATAGATAGACCTGGTCAAGAATGGAAGAATGTTCTTGTGGGTTTCTATAAATTCTCAAAAGACAAATCAAATACTTATGATATTCTTCAAAAGATTTCGAGCTATATTTTTTAACCAATTTAGAAAATAAATCACGATCTTTATAGCCATATTCTTTATTTGAAGATTCACCCCCGCCGCTTGAAATTGAAGGTAAAATTTGAATAAATGTTAAAATGACAAAAAGATTAAATGTTTTTGAAATTTTGTATGATTCAAGTTTTTAACTATAAAATTAAAATAAAAAATTATTTTACTATTAAGCGATTCAATGTCAGTGTCAAAAATTTTTAGTAAATAGCGATACCGTGAGCGCACTCCCGTTTCTGAGCAGGGATCGGTTTCGGAGTCATTATTCCAGAATCCCGATCTGATATTATTTACAATTTTAAAAGGTGAGATTTAGGCTCAACTTTAGGGCATGCGTCCCATGGGCTTTTATGCGTCCCATGGACTTTTATGCGTCCCATCAAAGTATAAGCGTCCCTAAAATTGTATATGCGTCCATTTCTCAAATTTTTCATCTACGGTGAAAAGTTGAGTCCAATGAATGGATAAGAGGGATTAGAAGTAATTAAGAATGATTTATGGGATTAACAGAGATATCTAGGGATATGCGAGGAGGATTGAAGCGATAAAGTGGGGTTAGAGGGATAAATTAAATTGTCTATGAGATTTTGCGGTATTAAGAGGGCCTACGTTCAGACGAAAGATCAGCAAAAAAGGAAAAAAAACTAGTCAAAAAAAGAAAGGCAAAGGAGTAGAATAAAGCTAAAAATGATTTTTACAGAAATGCCTTTAAGGAAATGTGTGTAGCTAGCTGGATATAAACCGAATCAAATTAATAGAAGGGGGTAATTATTTGAAGGAGAGGGCAATTATGTGAATAAATAAGACATTTGAATTAGCTATTAATTACATAATTAAAATCATTAAAATGAATAAGAATATAAAAATAAGTGTCTATAAACACAGTCGTCGCCGCGACTGTGTTTTTAATAATTTTCGAAAGAATGCCCTTTACATTATGCATGCCCTTTACATATTTCAAAAGCATGCCCTTTACAAATTTGCTAATTTGTCAATAATTAACATGTAATGTAATTATAATATGGCGCGGAGTTTTAAGTTGTAAAAGATTTCAATTAGGTTGCCAAATTGGAGAAATAAAGTGGCAGCCTTTTATTGAGGATGGATTTTTTCGCTGCCGGGAGTACCGAAGATTCCCATTACCGACGAGTATCTAGGAAAAATTTTCGGTAGCAACGCGGTATTTCTGTACTGAACAAAAAAGGCATTATACATATACCAAATTATTGCTTAAACCTTTCCTCACTAAATCACATAAACCGATAAAAAAATTATAATCTAATTATATGAGATAATTATGTAACATTAATCTTGTCCGGGAATCTTGAAAGGATATCGTGGGATTATGAACGATTAATAGAGATATAGATGGATTTTGAGAGATAACGTTGGAGTTGATGGATATAAGGGATATCATCGGATTTTGGCAGATATAATGAAATTATAAGGATATAGGGAAATCGGGGGATAATGTATGATTAATGGGGATATCGTTGGAGAATACAAGATGATTTGAATGGGTCATAATTTAATAAACCATCATTATATACCCATAAACTTTTCGATATCATTTTAATATCCGTCTCTCGATATCCTTCTCCATCCATCAATATATTCCCCAAATTTTTGTATCTTCCCTCTTAATCCCTCAAATCCGCCGATATTATCAACATCTGCGATATCAAGGGGTTTGGAGGATTAATACTCCGGTATACGTCTTAAACCTTAAAACGGTGATAACAGGAGATTTGAGGGATGGTAGAGGAATTGAAGGGGAATTTTTAATTTTTTACAGTACTTATCAGTTTGTATTTTTTAAATTTATTGTTCTTTTTCTAAAAATTTGTTAAAATTTATTATAAATAGCCTGATATGAGGTTAATGTGAAAGATGATCCAGTAAATAAAACATTCAAGACCCCCAAATTTTTTGATATATCACCATGCTTGACAATATAAGATTTATTTCCTAAGGCTATGCAGTAGGCGTCGTGGTGTAATGGAAAACACATCAGTGCTTTACTAACTAAAGGAGAGCTGCTTTACTATTATATCAAACAATAAATTAATCACAAAAATATTTTTATCAATAATAATTTCTTAATTATAAAAATCTAATAGTAATTGATGAAATAAAAATAAACATATCCTTTTTTGTATATCAATTAGAGATCGAAAATTAAAGTTAAAAATTTTTCAAAGTTCCACCAATAATTTCAACTAGTATCCATAATTTCTTCAATTAAAGGGGGTGGAATATCCGAATTTAAAATTTCTGGTGAATTTATTTCTTCAATTAAATTGTTGTTTTCTATCTAAAATAATTTGAAAATAAATATTTTTAAAATTAAATAATTTATTTACTTTAATATTTGGAGAAAATGAAGTAAAGTCGGGACTTTGTATACCCTCTATATTTTGGCAAGATATTGATGAAGTATTTTGTTTTTGAGCTAAATGGCTCTGAAAAAGATTTAAGAGGATTATTAAAAATATTAATGTAGATGTGATAAACATAAAATTTAAAAAATTTTCTTGGTTAGATGGGAGCTTCTCTAGAAACCTTAAAATGTATAGACCCGCGGCTCATAGAAAAAAAATGTAAGACGGTAGCTAATAGAACGTATCAATTACATTTGTCCAATAAACTTAAGTCCGCAAAAGTTATAACTAAACGGAAGTTCGGAACGTATCCCGCAGTTGAATTAATAACTGGGTTCTTAATGTTAACCCGTCCAGCCTCCTTAAGTCCTTTCCAAAATCTAAATTATATATTTACTTGTTGTCTAAGTAATTGCATTCTTGCAGCTTTCCTTTTTTGTTGTTGTTGGTGTTGATATTGCTGTTGTAAACGGGAAGCTTTTAAAACGGGTTTTTCATAAACAGTAATTAATTCGGATGAAGGAGAAGATGTGCCAACATCGGATGGGTTACTGAAAGATTTTTTTTACTTTTTATAAAAAAAGTTGGGGTTTCTTGTGGAAAAAATTTTGCAAACATTTTTTAAGGTTCATTTATTTTTCATAAGTGGCACGATACTAACTACTAGTGTTATTCACGGTACGGTATTCCTGGCGGTATTGTTTTCGGTATTACCGATACCGATATCGTACCGGCCGTTTTTGTTGCTGCCGAAAATACCGATACCTGTGCCGGAAAAACGCATTTGAATAACACTACTAAACATTACAATTGTGATCGTTTCTAATTGATCCTTATGAAGTTAGTTTTGAATTTATCAGTGACGCCCAAAGGTTGATAAATATGCCGATTATATTTTTTAAGTATTACATCTCCGCAGAAATGTCCGCAAAAAATGTCAGAAAATATAAATTTAAATTGTCAACGAAAACGCTTCTTAACAATTACCTAGTTAATTGTTTTTCGACATGTATTGACTGTTTTAAATTGAGTAAAATTTGTGGTTGAAATTGTAAATTTTCTGGTAAAGAAATTCTTTTTGGAAGACAACCAAGTGCTTGTCTAACATTCGAAAATTTTTGCCGATTTTCTGCTGGGGAAGGAGTTTGGGAAGATAAAGGGGAGGATTGTTGACTGTTTGTACTTGTTGAAGTAGAAGATGTATTTGAGGATAAAATAGGCGAAGTATTGACTCCGATAGCTATTGGCAATGTTTTTGCAAGGCTGGAAAATAATTTAATTAACAAAATAAAGTTATATAAGTATAGCCACCACAAAAGTTTAGCCAGCGGGCAGGATTCGACCTGCGACCTCCTTGTAGTTATCGCTAGGCGCTTCACTCATCTCCTATAGGAGCCCTTACACTAAGTTACCGGGGCATTGACTAATGCTTTATCTTTTCCCTTTTTAGCTCGGATTTCCCTAATAACGCGGAAGATTGTCCCTAATGAAGGATGAAATTTTGAAGATTTATAAAATAATAATCTCCGCAAGATTTTTTCGGACACCATAGAAAAGAAAAATTTTTTCCCATCATGAAAAAGGCTAATCAAGGGCACAATTTACTGTGCAACTATCTAACTAGCAGCTGGATTATTCTTATCCGTCCATATCCCCTCTACCAGTTGCGGACATAACCATTAGTATAACTTGATGCAAAATTTAAGTAATTTTACCTAGCCAAACCCGTAGAAAGTCGCATTCCTCTAAACTGGTTATGTAGAGGTATTCCATTGTTATTTTGAGGACTAGAAAATTAAATGTTAAAAAAAATAATTTTTAATTAACAGATTACCGATGTAACCCTTCCATAGCTCTATTTCTCTCCCCCAAATTTCCAGTAGGGAAAGGTAAAGGGGCATTTCCAATAGAATTATCACTAAAAAAATTTAAAATTTTATTTAAAAATCCCTTCCCACCTAATTCTTAAATTTTCTCCCCCAAAAAGAAATAATTGATGAAATGCAGGATTATTTATTCCGTTTTGATTATTTTCATTTTCAGCTGCGGGACGAGCTGAATTTGTTTGTGGTTGCTGTTGAGGATAAAAATAGGGTTTTAATAAATGTTGATGACGTTGATTTTGATGGTAATGTTGATGACTAGAATTAGAGAAGTTTAATTAGTATTCTATATATCCATCCGCCCGAATATGGCAGTGTCCGCAAAATTTTTGCGGATTGTCCGAAAAATTTTTGCGGATTTTCCGCAAGTTTTTGCGGACATCATTGATTTTGCTGTCCGCATTTTAGTAAAAAATATTTACTTTAAGCCAATATGACGATGTTGAAATCTTCCAGAAGTTCCTCCACAATGAGGATGTAATTGTACATGCTTCATTAAATTACCGCCAGTGCCACCACCAGCAACGCCTGTACTTGAATTAGAACAGCAACATCGTGCAACTGATGGAGAGGATACTAAGAGAAGATTTTTTAAAAAAGAAATCTTTAATTTAATGATTCGAGGGGTTGAAAAACAACCACAAAAATAAAAGTAAATTTTCCCTAAAGAATATTTTTTGGGTGGTAGAGGTTGTGGAGCATTTTTTGTAATACTCAAAGCTAAAGATTCCAAAATTTTAGAACGAAATTAATCTGTTATTCAATTAAAATTTTGAATTTAAAAGTTTCCATAAAACATTTCCACCCTTGTGTACATATACCGTATTTACTCGATTAATTCACATCCCTTGAATAATCATCCTCTCTCGATTAATTCGCCGTTTTCCCATTACTACTGGAACTACCCATACGAATAACACGGATGGGTTGAAAAATAATTCCACAGTGGAATTAATCGAGTAAATACGGTAGTAAAAAGTTTTTTTATGTTCAATCGACGTGAAAAACATCCGTGCTTTTTTATAAAAGTGCATCAATTCACAAAAACAATAAAAACAACACAAATAAAATGTTTTATTATATGTAAGTGAAACAAATTGAAAAATTTTAAAAAATATTAGTGTTACATAAACATAAATACAAACAATATTAAAATTAAAAACAAGCATACAAATGAGTATCTAAATTTAAAAAAAAAATTTAAAAAAATCTGAAAGGACAGAAAAACACTGAAAAAGAGCAAACAAAAAATTAAAATTAATTTTGAATTTTACAGAAAGACTAGTGCCAACTAGAGATCGAGCTGGACCTGGACCAAGGCCTGGGTTTTTCCTGTACCGAGTCCAGGTTCAGGCATTTTTTGACCTTCCCGGGTTTTTCCTGGGCCTGGGTTCTTACTGGACTACAGGCCCAGGATCCAGTCAAGGTCAAAAAAATCAAACCCAGAGTCCAGAAAAAGGTCCAGGCTTTTCAAAAATCTCGATATCTAGTGCCAATTCTAATCAACTAAATGTACCCTTCATCCCTCCTTCGTTTACTTCCCCTCTTTTTAGGTAAATTATTTTTGTTAGTATCTGGATCCCCTTCATTTTTATCTTCAAAACTTTTAAGGCAATAATCACCTTCTATTGGGGTTTTTCCATTACTACTGGAACTACCCATACGAAATGCATTTGCACTATTGTTTGATGATTGGGAAGAGAAGAGTGGATCCTAAAATAAGAATTCTCTAAAAATTTTAATTTAAAATTCTAGTATTATTTTTAAGTGGAAATTTGGATATATTATCAGAGAAAATTTTTTGTCAGTATCCGCAAACTTTTGCGGATTTTCTGCATATTTATGCGGATTTTCTGCAGTTTTTTGCGGATAAATATATTTGCGGACATATATATTGGTGCATATCTAGATCCAATTTTACCAAAAATCTCTAGTTACCCTTACCCCCATTAGTGAACACGGTTGATAACAATACCCTCAATTTAAGGAACATTCATTATAAGCTATCATAAGATTTTTCGTATCCGAGGGACACGAGGTTCAACCGTACTTAACCCACCCATTTTCATTCCTTTTTTAATTTCTACCTGGCTTAATTGACTATCAAAAGCAGGTAAAGGTTCATGACAATGATTTATATGTTGTAACAATCCATATCCAGTTGTTTGTAAATTTCCATGAATTGCTGCATTAGCAAACATTAAAAGTCCAGAATTGTTAGTTTCGTCAATAATACCCTTTTAAAAATTTTGTCTTTTTTAAATTTTATTTAAATTTAAAAACTTCGTCAAAAGAATTAATTGTTCCTATAGTAGACTGTCTAGATAGGGAAGAACCAGCTGCAGAAGAACTCGAACAACAATTTTCTGATTCATAGTCTGATGTTGAGGGAAGCTAGAAAATTGGGGATTTTAGAGAGATAATTATTTTAGATTTTTGCGGACAGAATTTGCGGACAAAATTTTGCGGACAGAATTTGCGGACAAATTTTGCGGACAGAATTTGCGGACAAATTCTGTGAATAATTTTTGCGGACAAATTTTTGTGGAGATTTTTTGTGGGCATTTATTAAGGACAATTTTCAATGTAACAAAAAAAGTTACCACAACTTGGCGTTGATCAACCTGTTGCTGTCTAAATTGTTGTTGTTGAGCTTCAAGTACGCCTTGAAGTTCTGGATTGGTAGAACTTTGAGGAATAGATTGTTGAGTTATTAGAGGGAAACCAGTTTTTATTTCTAAAGGAATTAGTCCATTTTGAAGTAAACTGGAAAAATCACGAAGGTTAATAATTCAATTTATTTTTTTAAACTTTTTAGAATTTTGTTTAAAAGAAGCAAGACAACAACAACATTGACAAATCATAGGTCCACCTCCAACAATTGTTACACCATCTGATTGACGTCTGACTTTAGCTCCTCGAGTAACATTTTGTTGGAAGTGGAAAGAATCAGCGATAGAATTTTGTTTGTCTGAAAAAATGAAAAAATAATACTTGCTGACAAAAATATTTTTGCGGACAAAAAAATTTTTTTGCGGACAAAAAAATTTTTTGCGGACAAAAAAATTTGCGGACATAATCCGTTCTATTCCATAACAATATATTAAACTATCCGTAAAATATGTATCGTTCAGCCTTAATATTTACCTAGAATAAGTGTTGGTGCTGTAGCATTTTGAGGATTTATATTTGGTACTATAGTAGTAGTTACAGATGGAGTATTAACAGTTTTAACATTTTGTTCGTTTGTCTCGTCTGGAATTTTTGTAGCTTCTTGATTAATTGGTGGTTGTTGTGTTTGAATATTTATTTGATTACCCGATTGGTTTGGGGATAGCGAGGGTGATCCTCGTTGTTGAAGTCTTTCCAATAGAAGCAAGTAAATAGCTTGAAGATTGTCATAAGCATCAGCTAGGAGGGACTAAAAAATAAATTATTACAGTAAACTCTCTAATAAATCTCGACCCAGGTACAGGAGAAAATAAAAAATGTTCTTACTCTCAATAATATGGAATATTCTGATGAATTTCTCAAGTATAATGGATAGCGTGAACAACTGATACTGGGGCATTTTTATAAATAAACTCGTGGCTACTAAATAGCTATTGTAGCATAAAGCAAGGATAGGATGCCTCCTCATATCCCTGAGCCTTTAGACTCGATCCGAGGAATATTTCTTTTCAGTACGACCCAGGGATGATCATAAGAAACAAGTTCCAAAAACGTAAAATGAAACTCAAGGTCAAACTCAAACGCATAACCCTCATTTAATAAAAAATATATTTACAAACATTTTTAATTTTAACAGTCTCAATTCCAATATTATTCATCAAGCGAAGAATTTGTGGGTGTAAATCATTTAAATTTTTAGAAATTCCTTCAGTTGAAGATTTTGCCAAATCAAAAAGTGTTTGATATTTTAAATTAAAATCGTTAGAATGCATCCAACGATGCTGTTTAATTTGTTCGATTGTTGGCCTTTTTCGAGCATCTACTGTGAGCATTCGACGAATAAGATTCTCACAATCAGAGCTCATAAAGTAAGGAATTCTGATTCGACCGCTAAGAACTAAAAAACATTTTTTAGAATTTGTTTTGATTTAAAAAATTATTTTGAAGAGTTTAGTGTTAGGTGAACATTGAAAGGTCATTGATAACAAAAAGAAGCTAGAGACCTCTCCAAATATTTTCAGCCTCTAATATTAATTAAATTACGACCTTGAAAGGATTAAGAGAAAGGCTACCAAAATGGTCCTACTCGGTCAGAAAGCTTCTTTCTTGGTCAGAAAGAAGCTAAAGACCTGACTCGCCCCGAAGCAGTTCGGCACCCGACTCGGTACGAAGGGAGCTCGAAAAGTAGCTCGAATGAAGCTAAAAAGAAGCTCAAAAAATTGCTTCAAGCTTCGATCGACTCGAAAATGAAACTATTAATTTAAAGGCACTTGAAAAGATGTCCTTCGCTTAGCTTAGAATAGAGGATTGGCTTTAAGACTGGCTTTAAGCTTTGCTCGGCAAAAATTCCTTTGAGTACATTAATTAAGGTTAAAAAAATTTTTAAATTTACACACCTCTTTCTTTCAACAATTGTAAATTGGCGCCTTCAAAAGGCAATGCTCCACAAACCATTACATAAAGAATCACACCGAGACTCTTAAAAATATTTTTTTCCTTTCTTGATTATTTAAAATTCAAATACCCAAATATCAATTTCTGGCCCAGCATATCTTTTCCCTTCAAAAACTTCAGGGGCGGCATATGGCGGACTGCCACAAAAGGTATCCAAAGTATCATTTCGAGAGAAGAAATTTGAAAAGCCAAAATCCGCCAATTTAATTTGAAAAGTCGAATCAAGTAATAAATTCTCTGCCTTGAAAAATAAATTTTTTTATCCTAAAAAATCCCGATTTTCCCCTATTTCATTAAATTTTAAAATATTTTTTCTGTATTTTTTTTCCAATTTAAATTTAAAAATATTCTCCCTCAAAATATTTTCTTTAATTTTCCATTAAAATTTATTTTTATTGACGTCAAACACAAATCTTCTTTTTTGGTCTATTAATAAAAATCAGTTATAATGAACGGACTCAATAAATGTTTGGAAGAAAAAGTGAATGATGATCGGCATAAGTAAAGATGATTGTTCCTTCCTTTCCTCTCTTTTCTGAGAGAGAGAGAGAGGGAGAGAGAGAACGATCATCGCCTATTAACGTCAATAAAAATAAAATTAATTTTTTATGTTTTTTATGACGTCTTGAACTCTCTAAATATATTTTCTACAAAAATTTCCGGTTTGGAAATTTTTGTGGATTTAAATTAGTGAACAAATATGTAATTTGTTTTTTTGCTGAGGATATTTTTTAAATTCGAATTTCCGGACAAGTAATTCCGGATAAATAATTTCACTATAAAAGGGGTATCAAATATCTTATCAAACTAAATACACGTTAATCACTGGCGAAAGTATGTGCTAGAAATAGAGATAGGATCAAATACCGT